TACCTGAGCCTGTTCTGAGCGGAGCTGGAGAAGATGACTTCCAGAGGTCCTTTCCAAGCCCAACAACTCTGTCTGGACATACATGTATGTGCACATGCACAAGTGCACATGAACTTAACTGTCAGGAAGCTATCATAAAAATGAAGACAGTTATACTGGGCAATTAATTTGGAAAGTGTATGTGCTATACTCCAATGTCAAGAGTGCCTCCAAATCAGCCATATCAGAAACTCATTTCTATTCTTTCACCATTTTTTATGTCTTGACTCAGTCTTTTTATGAATATTTAAATTTTCAAAAATACGATCTAAAATGGCCCTCTAAATTTCAAGCAACCAAAACCTGTGTACTCAATGTTATCCTAAGGGTAAACCAATTTAGTTAAAAAGCTGAAGCTCACGAGGTAAAAAGCTGTGCTACACATAAGATCTTGCCAGCATATATATCTGCAAATTTCCTAGATCTGCTAGGCTAACTTCCTAGATCAGCTAGATTGCCTAGATCATCTTGCACAAATACTTCGTACTAGTTTCCCCACTTCCCTCCCCTCCTGGTAAAAATCATCGTGACAAATATTTTAATACTGGTATAACTATACACACCAGAGTTTCTGCCAGTATGATTTCCGTGGACACGTGGGACACAATTTTCCCAAAGCAGTGCTGAAAATATGTTTACTTTGGAAGCTAAAAGCTGCTATTTCAAGTTCTGGATTTTTAAAAATATACCTGCCCACTTACTTGCTTAAAATATGAACAAAGTTTGAAACAAAGATACTTTAAAATGGTTGCATACTGTGCTATTTAGCTAGGATCATTTTAAAAAAACCACAAGCCAAAAAACTCTTGAGGGATAGGGTAGCTAACCTACTCAAGCTCTTGGAAGTGTACTTTGAAGATCTGTGGATCAGTATGGGTCAGTTTACCACCAGCACATAACTTCATAGTGCAGTATTTTCTCTTTTCCCATCAAAGGACTGAGGACAGGAGACGGGGTACCTTCCACAAGAGTACAAACACTGAGGGGCTGAAAACAACTGGGATTTTAATAGACATATTGGCATCCACTTACAGTCCCAACGGGATAGAGAGGGATGAACCACTGCTCCAGCAGATCTGCCTCTGAAAGCACGGGTTTACAAGATACGGACTCCTTTGCCCAGGAAGTGCTAGAGCACAACTTTCTCCAGGCAATCACTGGAGGAAGACTAGCATGTGAAAAAGGAAAGACTAGAGGGGAAGGGTTCTGTAGCTATATATCCTATCTTTACTTCCCTCAGATGTACTGGGTATTGAAGTTTGACAGTCTGGAGTGCAGAGTAAAAAGCTGTAATCCTAAAAAGGATACTGGAATAAAGAAAAAATAATTTAAAAAAAAGTCAAAAGACAATCCACGCATGCTGTTCCTGGAGTTACTCATTACCTAGTCTAGTAGTCCATGAAATAGTAAAAGATTTGAAGTAGTAGATGAGGAAGACTTACTTTAAATCAGCTGATAACATAACAAAACAAAACCAACTAACTCATATAAAATGTGCAACTGTTTTGGCATCACCTAAAGCTTTTTTTAGTTATCAAAAAGTAATCTGCATAAGATCCTCACACACCCGATTTTCTCCTTTCTTAATCTTCTATCCTAAATTCAGTTAGTGCTGAGCCAGGCAGCCATTTCAAGAGCAACAGACTGATGGCAAACTCAGGATTATGACTTCGCTTCAAGTTAAAACAGAATAGCTAGGAGAAGAGGGAAAATGTTTTATTGCACACATGAAAGCAATGTGAAACCTAAGTAAACATACAGCTTATCTGCATTCTAAGCGATTCTTTGTGTACCGTATCAAGAGTAGTTTGTCGTACTCCTGAGGTTTGAAGGTCAAGAAGATTTTCTCTGCACTTAAGTATCTCACAGAATCAAGTATCTTTAACTGATATTTTCAGTACAAAGGGATAGTAAGTATAGCAACTGTTTTAATGATCCTAAAACAGAAGGCAAGTGCGCACAGAAACAAGCTTCTCAATTCCCTTTATTCACTGAATTAAATTATTAAATGCTCTAGACTAAAATCCCATTCTATTTTTAAGAAATGCAGTAGGCTACAGTTCCAACTATCTTCTAGAGAGAAACTGTAATACTGTTACTGCTTGTAGGTAGATAAAGTTAAGCCCACAAGGACAAAGCATACACTCCTTGCTTTTAAGAGCTAACATTGTCAAAGATGTGAAGACATAGCAAGAAGTCTTTCATATTTTCCTTCAGCCCTGCATGGATGTTTTCTTGCCTTTTTTGTTAACTTCATTATAGCAGTTTGTGCCAGTTCTGACAAACGCCAAGCAAAATCACAATGAAGAAATCTTACTGAGAGGAAAGTAAATACCTAAGAGAGGTTTTAAAGCTCATCCTTCCATGTGCAAACACCAGGGACTGAATCACTCAGATGACTTGAATATATTTTTCAAGGAAGAAATGTAAAACTTCAGGGGTTACCTTTTGCTTTTAATACTCAGCATGTTCAAAAGTGCTAGTGGAGACTAAACTGAAACAGAGGAGTGGCACAAGACAAAGGGTTCATTAGGAGGAAAAGCGTTGGACGCTGTCTGTGGGAACTGCCTAGTAAGCCAGGGAAAAACTAGGTAACAGCCTCAAGACTCTTGTTCCTCTCACCTGAGGCATTCCGAAGTTCATCACGCTTGTATTTTGCACACAGGCATTGAGCAGCTGCAGTAAAAGAGCTGTGTGTTGCAGTCACGGGATAGCTCAAAACTGTTTCATTCCCTTTCAGTCTTACTCGATGACACTTGAGTGAATTCTCACTCTTCCCCTGCCTGGTTTCAGGAAGGTGGGAGGGTTTCTAGTCACAAGCCTCTTCACATAACAAAGCTAAAAACATGAGAAAGAAGTTGTGCTACTGAAACAATGCTTACGTCTTCAGAGCCTTGAGGATTCTTCCAAAAAATGAATCCTGTAAGGCGGCTTGGAATGCAACCAAACCTTGTCAGTATACTTAAGAAATTACTTTGTTTTACTAACAAAGTTACTATTTTGGAGAGGAACGTGATTTTCAAATAGAAAGCTTTAATGACATAATATACTAGACACTTTCATCAGCACAACCCTGATACAAGATGTTAACTACCCCGAGGAAAGGAAGTACGCCAACAGAAATGGAAGGTAGAGGATGATCCGGTTGTATTAGCAGATATAACAGTTTCTAGTAGTTACGCAAATCCTAAGATGACCTAAAAGCTAACATATGCTGCAAACAAACCTGTTATCTTAACTTTATGGATATCGTAGCAGTAAACAATCCTCCCTTAGTCAAAACCCACTTGGATTTCTAGCTTCACATACTAAAACATTAAACCATCAATCAATCAGTCAGAATAATGGGAACACCCACATTTTTATTAAACCTCTTCTCCTTTACACAACATATCATCAAATGCTTCTGCACTCCCTCAGTAACGTGTGCATGCATACTGAAGATCAATTCCAGTGGGCCAAGACTTTCTCAACCTCTGTTCCTGCTGCAATGTGGTTAGTTTTTAGATTAATTCAGAAATCAGCATTTGTTTGTTCAGTCAGTTCTCGGACTTTTGTAGACACACACAGTTGGGATACGCATAATGGTAAGTGGACACATTGAAATACTTAAGAGGAAACAAGAAGAAAAAAGGAGAGTAGTCAGGCAGAAAAAAGGAAAACAACTGTTGCCTCCACCCCACAAATTTGGTTCCTGTGTTGACAGAGCCTTCTGTATCTTTGTGTGGTAACAGAAAAGAAGTATTAGTATTCCCGTACATAGCATCATGATATGCAATTGCTCGGTAGTAATGAATCTCAAATTCAAGCCATTTACTGAAATAATACCCTGCTTGGCATCCATTACCTAATCAATTTCCACTTAGATGGGATTAACACCTTCCTTAACACCTTTTATCTAGTACCACTATAGTGATAAGCTAGATACTTAAAACTGTAAATTCTTTATTCCTGCAAATGAGTTGGTGCTTAAGAGTAAAGACAGATATTTCTCAGTAGCTGCAAAGCTGTGCTTTAAAAGACCAAATTTAACACTTTTATGTTTATTGGCTGACTCTTATATTGGAAGTTTTAGGAGTACCCAAATGACCTTTCTTCCGAAATTGTGCGTATTATATCCTCCCCATCCCTCCTCAGTAGTTACAAATGTATTAACCTTTGAAGTATGCCCACCACTGACCAGTATAAATCCATAACTACAAATTATCACACACCTTAAAAAAAAAATTCATGAAACATACCTGACTTAATAGCTGTCCATGAAAAATGTTGTTAACCACATTCAAAACCTGTTTTATAAGTTTTCTTTGAGAAGCAGGGATGAGAGCTGGGTATCTGGTCCCCGTAGTCTCCAGTTCCTGCTGCACTTTATCCAAAAGTTCACAGAGAAATTCCTGAGCATCCTGTTGGGCATATCCTCTGAAGGCTGGAATTAGTCTCCACACAGAATGAAGCATGGCAAAAGGAGACACCAGCGCCCATTTGCCTGACCACATAACTTGGAACAGAGTATGCAGCTCATGACAGAGAGAAATATGCTTTGAACTGGGCTCCCTGGGCTGTATAAGTTCCATATTTCTACTTTTTGATGCTCCTCCACTTAATCCAGAGGATAAACTAGGCCGCCTCACAGAAGATATTCCCTTTACTTTCTCTTGGTTCTCATTCAGATGTAATGTCGAGGCAGCTATTGACAGGTGTTTAGATGAAGATCTGGTTTTACCATTGGTTGCTGTTGCCAGCAGTTCCTGAGTTTGGTTGAGATCAAGCTTTAGAAAGCATTCTCGAAAAATGAGTAAGTGACTTAATACCTGCAGGATAGAATTCATATAGCATGTATTTCCCAGGTTTCTCAGTCCTGTGACCCCAGGAGTCACCGTGGGCCTTCGTTTAATTGGAGAGTCACTTATTTTTTTCAATCTTACTTCATCTGAGGTATACGTTTCTTTCAACTCTGCCACAGATTCCACCTTCCGTGATGTTTTTTGCAGGCAGGGTGCTGTTTTTGAGGACATTCTAATCTGTTTTTGTAAACGACTGCTCTTTCTTGGAGGCATCTTTTCCATCTCTGCTTTCAACTCACGCTTTCGTTCTTGTCTTCTCTTCCTAGCTTTGTCCCTTCTTTCCTCTGCTTCTTCCCGACGTCTTTCTTCTTCCAAAATCTTTTTTCCAGTAGGCGTTAACTCAAGCCACGATCTGAATATTTTGCCCAGGAACGCACGCCGTCGGTGCCAGAGAGCTGTGAACATGCGATCTTCATTCCGAAGCAAGGCTTGGGCACCACCATGTGAAAGGTAAGAATCATCACTCGTACCCATAGAACGCAAAGTCCTCCCGCTTCGAGTAGTGCACTCATAGTTTTGACTCTTGATTGCACTTAATGTACTTCGCAACAGCTTTAAATCCCCTGTTGCGTTATCATTCAGAACATAATCATCGCAGAGATAACAGAAAACATACAGCTCATTTACTTCCAATGCCACTGGGTGACTGCTCTCCTGAAAGTGCTTTAGTGCATGTTCTTCAATGTATCTCCCACACGCCACATGCGAGCAGCTGAGGCACGCCCACACCGATTCGGTAGTATTGCAGTCCACACAATGCCATTTCTGAGGATTGAGAATGGAGTGGTCTTGGGCCAGTCGCAGACGTCCTACGTGCTTACACTTATCCATTGTTAAAACTGAAATTGCAGAGAGACGCTGGCAAAACACATCATCCAAACTATTTTCTGTCCATGATACTTCAATCTGCAACTAAAACAAAAAGACTTATAAATTACAGTTCATAAATACCCAACTGTATCACTTTTACAGGCATCAGTATACCAAACTCATGCCTGAGGTTAAGACCATGATCCCACCAAACACATAAAGGCAGTCAGTTATGTGGAGCCACAATCAACACCATCAACAACAGTTCCACGTTCAGACTTAAAGGTCTGAATACCACTGCTTATATTCCCCGTGCCTTCTGGCTCCGGACTGAAGCACACTAGCTACGCTTTAGATTAGGCCTGGTTTTTATAAAGGAGCACTGATTTAGTTAAAAGCCACTGCTACAGAGTTTGGATACAAATACAACTTAGAATGGGACAGGTTGCCCAGGGAAGCTGTGGCTGCCCCATCCCTGGAAGTGTTCAAGGCCAGGCTGGATGGGGCTGTGAGCAACCTGGTCTGGTGGGAGGTGGCCCTGCCCAGGGCAGAGGGGCTGGAACCAGGCGGGCTTTAAGGTCCCTTCCAACCAAACCACTCTATGATTCTAAAATGCTCCTGTTAATTCTATCCCTAAGCATACAGGTGCGGAAGTGAAAAGTTCACTTAAATTTATTATGTTTACACAGTGCCAACAGTTCAGACAAATGAGGCTTTATACAACTCAAACCCCTAATTAAGCCACACCTTTAATTAAATCACTGCACCTTTGTGCTCAGGCAGGCCCATTATACCTTTCTACAATAATGTATCTCCAATAAGGACATTTTAACAGTCATCCCAATACCTCCAAAAGAAAAAGAGTGACCTGGAAAAGCAGAATTTGATTTCTTCGTAAGGCAGAAATATCATTGTATATCTACCTCGGTTGCTGCAAACTTTATAAAAACCGCATTTTTAACAACTCTTTCTAATCCATGTCTTCAAAAAATAATTTAAAAATCTGGCTAGCATTGGCTTACATCCTTTAATAAGTTTACGTGGTAGTATTTATTTGTTCAAAGCTTCTGTATTTGCTTTCTCCTATAAGGTACATTTATCTAAAACAAACAGGCAGGCTCTGACTAACAAAAATTAAAGAGACAGTGATTCATTCTTTCTTTACGTATTTCCCATCTTTCTTTTGACTATCTCTAGTTGAGAGACATCATCTCGAGACAAACGGTGCATCCAGAAGTGACTGTATTTGATCTGGGGTGTCTGTGCCCACGATGTCACTGATGGGAAGGGCTAAACAGCACACAGCAGCAGTATCATTATGGGCAGTACTTGCCAGATGAAACGGTTAATTCATCTGAGGAGCACCACGGGTTTGTCAAATATCCAGGCTATGCCAAGCGAGACAAGTTATGCCTTTACAAATGCATGCATGCTGTGGACCTGGCCTAGGCTGTACAATAGGAAAGTCTGGGATTCTGTGTTTTACAGATAAAGTAAACCATGCCACAAAAATAGTAAGTGATTTCGACAACTCTGGCTAGAACCCACAAAAATATATTCCAGCTATTATCCTTAAATACGCTAATATTTCTCCATTTTTACAGTTCTGAAATACACAAGCTTTAATTTTCATCTGGTACTTAGATAAAAACTGTAGTTACAAGATTTAACGAAAAACACGGCTTTGTGTGGTTAATCAGTCCACGGCTAGCGCCTTTTAAAATGTTACAACACAGACGCCAGCGTAAGAGCTACAAACACTCTCCAAGCACATAATCAGCATCCAGCATTGCATCTGTTGTGTAGGTCTTACTCTGTAATACAGAAAAGGCTGAGCCAGCTGTAGTGAACCTAATAAAGTGTACAGAGTTTTACATGCCCACATTAATCACTCTCATTCAATTTATTTAAGAGTTGTCTCCATTCCATACTCGCTGCCCTGAAGAATTTCAGGCACCACGACCTCTGGGTACCCATTCAGTAATTCCCAGATTAATTACCAGCCATAGTGTGTTACGGGAGGTCGAGATCCCTCGTGTGCTATGGTCAACAGATCACAAAAATAATGGCTTGCTGAACTTTTTCAGCTTGCTCGCATCCATAACATTCATTCCTTCTAAAAGGCAGTCTATTTGTGGACTGCTAATGAGATTCTTTTACAAAGAGTCGTGCATACTACATTTGCTTTTTACACTGCCTTTATAAATAAGACCACTAGTGCTATCGCATGTCTTCTCCTAGTCCAACAATCTGTCTTCCCCAACAAAGCTCAGCTTTTCTAACACTGATAAAACTCACATAAATTTCAGAGGTGAACTATGTATGTTAATTCTTCCTGGACTGTTAAAGTAATACCCATGTGAAGTGTGCTGCAAGAATTAAATGTGGTAGACAGGATTTTAAGAGACAAGACTCATCTTTGTGTTTTGAGGCTAACAGAAATAGATTCTTTCTATGACGGTCCTTTCCAGCAGGCCAGAAAAGAACACTGAACCCTGCCTTCCCACAGGGCTGTCACACAGAGCAATGCTGTCAGTCACTGCAGTCTGACAGGTCGACCCTTTCTGGTTTTGTTAAAGTCACTGTGTAAACCCTGCGCCTGATTTTTCCTTCTTTTTAATATGGTCAGAAAATTTGGTTTTCTCCATTTTAAAAATACTACCAAGACTGAAACTACTTACATGCCTCAATGTAAGCAGATACTGGGCTGAGGACAAGAGCCGTCCGCCGATTTCAGGACGACCACTGTGTAAGCCGGGGTTGCACAATCAAGCTCTTCATGCAAAAGCAACAGGATTCTACGAAAGCGCAAGATCAGCGCCTTGAAGAGAAAAACCTAAAACCCCAGCTCCCCCCACCAGCAACCAAGCCAGCATGACATTTTCCCACCTACATCGATGTGTTGAGAAAAGGGGGGAGGGAGAGGAAACATCTTGGCACGGGAGAAGCCTTTCTTTGAAGAAAATGTGAGGAAATCAAAATGCAAAGTTTGGTTAAAACGAGAGAAATATCTGAAAAGACTGTGAAAAAGCTAATAGCACAAAACTGAGATCAAGTAAACTTCAGCTGAATGTGAAACAGCACGCTGACAGCATGAAAGTTTTAAGACGTGGAGCACTGAAGTACCGAGACTACACCAAGTTACAAAATTTAAAAACTTCACCTTAGAAGCAAGACTTGGTAAGATAGAACAGCTCCGGGAAAAAAACACGAGCGAAGTGACAGATAATGGCGGAAGAAACCTAAAAAATACTGCATACTCATTCCCACGCCTACTAGAAAGCTGCAGCTGGAATAAAATACTACAAGCAAATGTTCCAACGTTAAAATTCCCTAAAGAAAGTCATTCAGCGCTAGTTTCTGCATCCTTCTCTCCCGAGGTTCAGTTCTGTGCACACACACAAAGAAACTGTGAATTAGTTGACCAGCACTTCAGAGATCAAGCCCCCCCTGTGTTCTTAGCACAGACCTGAGCTGAAGTAGTAAGCAAAATAACAAGGACTAACATACAGAATAGCACTACTGAAAGCATTAAGTTGTCCGCGAAAAGAGAGATTTACAAAAGTCTTTTCTGGTGCCAAAGTTTCACAAGCTAGAAATAAAGATATACGGAATAGCATTTTTTTCTTTATGGAACCATATTTCAACCTTATTGACTGGCTCGTTTCTTTAGTTGCACTAAAGAATAGCTGGCAAAATGTACATTTTGGGGTAACTCATGAGCTGAAAAAGCGCTCGATGTCAAAACCCAACAACTTAGAAGTCATGAAAATGGATGTTTTTCTTCCATTTGCATTCCATGTAAACAAGAAATTAAGATTCACCTTCACAGCTCATAAATGTTAAAATTGTAACTCTAAATATAAACAAAAGGAAATCTTTTTCTCTTAGTCATTACTTTTGTAATTAACTGCGTGGCATGTAAACGAAAATTCAAACAGTCTATCATCTCACGCGTTAGCCTAGAACTGCAGTACATAGTTTTACTAATATATATAAACACGTGTGTGTGTGTGTGTGTGTGTGTGCGCGCGCGCGCTTGTGTGTCCCATTAATATTCTGGCTTTTAAATCAGATGACAGTTTACCAACTGATTTTCATCAGGTTCAGAGTACCTGTTTAACATCTGAAAAAGCAGGAATCATGGGTACTTGAACAACTGAAAGTTTTCGATAACAAGTATGCTAACTAAGCCAGATGTACTGCTTTACTGCTTTCTTAAACAATTTTTCTTTTTTTTTTAAAAAGAAAACAACCCAACAAAACATTAATGTGCATAACTTCAAGCTGCAGTATAGTCCTGCAGGCTTAACAGTAAGACTTAAAAATCAAAGCAGCACTTCAAAGGGAAATTTTGCAAATTATTTCCGATTTTTAACAGTAAAGCCTTTGACAAGAAACCCCCCAACCTCCTTTCCTTAGAGCAACAGAGATCGTCATTTAGCGGTTTTTTCCCTAGCTAAGGAACGTGTACCCCGGCTGCTGCCCAGCAGCCGTTTACGCCAGGACCCCGGCACAGCACTGCAGTCGAGGTCTCCTGTTGGAAACAACCGCGCATTTCCCGCCGTGGAGATTTCAAGGTAAAGAAATAGCTCAGACTGAAGCGCTTACACAGAAGCATGTCTAGCACAGCATTTCTTATCACCCTAGGTTTACACTTGACAGTTCTTCCCATTTGGAAAAACAAGCCTCTCTTGACTGCTCTGACA